TTAATTTCACGATCAGAAAGGTGAATCTTATGTCTGTTTTCATTGTAGTTGTATGGATATTCTTGTTTAATAAATACATGATCCAAAATCCTGTGTTTTTTGTGTATAATGTTATTATGTTAAGTATTGTTTACGCAATTGTCTTGTCACAGGCGACCCAAGCTCACGTCTCGTGAAAAAGCTAACGATTAATTCATGAACGTGTCACGCGTTGTGTGACTCTGTGTTCAGTTACGAGAGGAACCGTTGAAAATTTGAACACGTTATAGGGAATTGTATAGGGAACGAAATATGGTCGATTTACAACAATAAACATTTCGAAATATGAACATTTTTCTCGTAAAATCAATAAAACTTTCTCATAACCTGTGTATCCGTTGTAGTTTCTGGCGATTTCTGCCGTTTTAAGTGTGCTTTACCATCATTGTTATTCACGTCATCTACTTTTATTACATTGATAAAATCTGTACAGACATCACACTAACCAACTCGCGCGCAAAGTAAGAAGACTATATTGAAGGCTTGAAATTATATTACGATCGATTTCCATCAAGAAATGGGCCAGGAATATTCCACAATAGTGCAAATAATTGTGAAAGCTGAAAGAGATTGCGTGACGCTCGATAAGCTGTAAGATCACATACCATTATATACCAGACGTAAAAACTCTTCAGATTCTCAGTCTGCATTTTATACCCACTCTGCAGTTGCAGTCTGCAGTCTATATTTTCTATCCGGTCTGCAGTCTGCTGTCTGCATTTTGTACTAACAGGTATCCGTGGCACTAATACAGTTTATTTTTGGTTACATTTATTCGCACAACACATACAATCTACAAAAAATTCCTGTGTGAGTTAATTCGAAATTTTTTTTCTTTTCCGCGTTAATACTCTTCTTTCCTTTTGTAAGAATGTAGACATCACTTACAATGTTTCAAGTAATCCACCCACCCTACAAAAACTAACTCTTGCATGCATAGCATGCCTATGTTTTGAAATAGGTGTATGCCCATGGCCAGACTTGAGCTCACTATTTCAGTATACTAGTCCGACACCCGTAGTATCACTATTCCAAGGATCCACTACCATCCAGGTATCCCAGTTACCCTGCTCACAGGGTTTAGTTAAGCTATAAATATCGAGCGCTCCCAAACCCTTATTTCTCAATCTACAAAGCTGATTATTTTACATTTTAAGAATGGCTTTATTTAAATACTTCAAAGGTAAAACGATTGCATTCTGTAAAACTTTTACCGAGTTATAGAACTTTCAAAATACCTTATCGTGAGCATTAAAATTTGTGAGGAGTGAGGTACATGCGGTTGAAAGCTATTTTCTCTTATGTGGGACCTGATCTAGAGTCAAGTCTATTGCAGCTTAAAAGTACTTAGATAGAGCAAGTTAAATATAGAATAAAACTTTTGGGCACTCCTCATCCTGCGCCGTAGAGAGCTTTCTGAATTTAATTAATATCCGCCGTCTTGATCGAAACCAACGATAACGCAGTCCGACCAGCAGACAGGTTTGTAAAGCTTAACAGCCCTAAAACACTTAAAGGTGCAGGAACAATTATGTGATGGAGTATCAAGATCGATATTAATCATCATTTTGGCCTTTTTTTAACGAAATGGCTCAAATATTCCAGAAAATACTTTTTAATACCTATATGCAAATTAACTGCAGCCTCCTGACTGAAGCGATCGCGTTTATACGATACACGCTACAAACAGTTTCCGTAACAACATTTAGCTATTCAAAGTGGTGTTTTTAAGAATGTGGAAACTCAATAGTTGTATCATTTCTTGAATGCATTACGTAAAATTTTAAGAGCCATTTTCTTTGAACACAATGCGCTAACGGAATCCAGTTTGTTTTGATAAATAAAGTTGTTCTTTTCGCTCAGGTGTTTTTATCTCGATAAAACACGGTCCGATAGTTTATCGATATCAGGACCGAGAATCACCATAAAATCAAGTAATAAATAATGAGAGGTTGGTTTGTAGATTAGAAATAAGTATCATATCACGTTTACACCGTTGTATTTGAGATATAGGTGTGCTGAAGAACAAACCAGGAGGGAGAGCTTTCTTGCGGTGAATAAATTACCGTATGCAAATTAGCTAGAGAAAGTTATGTAATGTGTAGTCCAGGACACATTTTTTTTAGCGTTTTCTTGATGAAAAAGAGTTGTGTTTATCTGTTTTTCTTTGTATTGTGGGAAATTTTTCGGTATTTCATAACAAAATTTTGTATTATATTTTTATGACCATTTTCATTTTCTACGAGGCGCCAAAAAGGAGCCGTATGTTTCTGTTTCACCTAATTCAATTACTGATTCATTTTGAAAAGGAATTCGACGGCAGCTACATTTCCTTTCATTACAGGTAAATCTCTTCAAAGAGACACGAAATGTGTTTTGCTTAAAGCTTATCAAAGTAAAACTTTTCAACTTTTCTGTGTGGCATTTCTATTTTTTTTGCGAAAGAATATTTGGCAAACTTGTTTATTTCTTCCTAATTCAATTAAAATCTGTCGGGAACAAAAAGATTTTTCGGCAAGATTTTCAGACAAATCTGAGACAGTGTTTCTTGGGACGTTTTCTTTGTTAGCACTAAAAATGTCTTCTGTCCCCCCAAAATGTTCTGTTTACGAAATACTTCAAAGTCCGTGCGGTTCTAGTAGGGAGGAGGTAGAGCATGTTTTGCTCTCGGAGTGTAACGCAGATATATCCGCCCATTTGGCTAGCTGCCACTTGTCAAAATGCAGTGAAGTTACAGAAGCCAAGTTAATCATGGCAAGAGCGGGAATTCATCATGTGTCGAGAATTCAGCTCGAGGGAATGACCATCTGCCCGAGGCACAGACACTTACTGGGAAGATTCTGGCGAGGAGTGTAACGCAGATATATCCGCCCACTTGACTAGCTGCCACATATCAAAATGCAGTGAAGTTGGCGAGAGCGGGAATTCATCATGTGTCGAGAATTCACCTCGAGGGAATGGCCATCTGCCCCAGGCACAGACACTTACTGGGAAGATTCTGGCGAGGTCCAAGATCGTACCAATACCCTGGCCATGCTAGGAAAGTTATGTGTGACGAGCAGTCACGTCATAACCTTCAAATAGCTGACGAAATAAGACTTATATTCAAAGAAATCGCCGCTGTAGGATCACGTAAGTACCAATAGCCTTGTGGCTCTCTCTAGTTCTGTTTCCTCAAATGTCAATACCCCTATAAGTTTTTGTTGTTGGTTGTCACAGGTCCATTTCCCCTGGTTAATTATTGGTGTCACAATCGTAAATACAATAATGCGTGTTTTATCATCAACCAAGGAAATTTCTGTAATTCTTTTATGTTATTGCTACACTAAGACTACTGGGCAGCCTGGCTGGTGGTAATGAAGGAAACAAATATAGTCCTGAGCGGTGAATCTGCATTTCCTTCCCATGCCTCGTACGATGTCGCCGCTCTTTTACTCGTCTACGGTTCGAGAAAACTTTTCCTTTATCTCAGACCCACAACGACAAGTGTTACGCACGATAGAGACTATAGGTCTCCTAGATGTGTTTGAAACGCCTAGTATTTCTCTTAGAAATGATTTAGGCTAAGCTAGACGATGACGATGACGACGACGATGAGGATGATGAAGACGACGACGATTTATCAGTTGTATTGATGCAATTTTATAGCTATTTGCACCACTTGCCAGAAGAAGCATTCTGAGCGACTGTTGGGTTTGGGATGGCACAGTTCTACGAAAGGTTCAGTCAACCAGGAAGCTGCGGACTCTGAGGGAATTGGATATTTTATTGTTTCTAAGATACCTCACCACGCAAGGTGTTTATTCGCATGCCACGTCATACATCGAAAGCGCATGCCAAGTACGAAACTGAGACAAAAATTGTGTTGGTGGCTGCAGATGTAACTTTCTATGGGATAGCACAGTTACCCCTCTTTTCCTTTGTGAATCCCTTTCTTTACCGACTCGTTCCTTCGAAGAGAACATGTCCAATAATGTCCGTTCATACCGTCAGTAAGATTGTGTCATCTTATAGAGCGGCCAAAGCTGATGCAAGAACAGCCATAGGAGCACATGCTACTGAAATGGAAACAACGCCATCTCCTCAGATTTCTACCCCTAATAGGAAACCCTTTTCTAGTCCCTGTTGGACTCCACCAACTCCTGAAGCAACTTTCCGTCAGATCCATGAAACAGAGATTATTCGTACTTACAATGCTGCGATGGACTAGGTTGCCAGAAATATTCCTCGCAAGTGACAGCCACTACCATCACAGCTTGTCTCGTGGGAAGAAAGCAGTCCAGTCCAGCCCAGCGACAGTTCTGCATCGAGAAAGCGGTTGAAGACTGTATGCTCGTATGTAATGTGATAGCCCCAAGTGACGGCAAGACGCTCTTTCGCGCCCTGTCTTCTCCAGGTGGAGAAAAGGATGAGACAGCAGAAGCCGATGATTTGTTGAAATCTTTGATGACCGCTTACAAAAACGCCAAAACCAAAAGCATCAAGACGCAAATTCTTATGCGTATAAGTACTCGGTTAGCATATTAAAAGAACTTCACTCGCCATATGGAAAGTTGTCTACACAACAGATACAGAGAACGCGGTGTCATGCTAGAACGATAGGTCCCGGGCAAGTGCCTGAGGAGAAGGTACATCATCGTGATCGCATTGATATGACCAAAGTCGATCATTTCGTTGAGTTCATTAATCGCCCATACTTTTATCAAGACGTGTCTTACGGAACTAAATTCCTTAAGCTAGACAGTGGCGAAACCATCGAGATGCCGAACGTGGTGCGTACCGTGACGCCGTCTACGATGATTAGCCAGTACGTATAGTTTTGTCAGGAGGAGAAGTTTGAACCTCTCAGTCGCACCACTTTATTCAAAATCCTAGAAGTCAGACAAGCTTTACAGAGAAAGTCGTTACAAGGCCTCCACAATACTGCTGCCGATGGCTCTGCTGGTTTCCAGAAAATTAAAATGATTGTCGATGATCTAGAGAAAGGAGGAATGAATAGGCAATGGTGCGCTGAGGTTAAGGAAAGGCTTAAGAGTGAAAAACGCTACTTAAAGAACAATTATCGCGTTCACTGCAATCCAGAGGAAGCTTTATGTCCTGATCATTGCCGCAAGTTCGCTTTAAGTGACGAACAAGATCCCGACTTCCAGGAGAAATGCTCCCATCAACAAAACTGTAACGAGTGTCAAAATCTGCGAAATGTCTTAGATGAAGTCAAAGACAAAGTTCGAGGTCCATTTTGGATCCCCTACGGCAGTGAACATCGAGACGCTCTGCTATATGACTTCAAACTGGCACAGATATTTTGAGTGAAGGGCTCATATTGTTCGCTCTGTAAACCAAGAAGCAGCAAAGCAAGATCAGCTGAAGACGATAAGTACTAATCAGAACTGTGCACTGGTAATAATGGACTGGGCAATGAAGTTCCTTCAGCTTAAATATCGTGAGAAGCAGTCAGATTGGTTTGGCAAGAGAGGATTGTGTTGGCACATCTCGACGGTGATCACACGTGATCCGAACCTTGAAGGAAGACTAGAACTACGGTCGTATGCCCATCTGTTTGACGCATGCCAGCAGGATTGATTCGTCGTGTGTTCCGTCATAGAAAGCACACTGAGAGAAATTAAGACCGAAAAGCCTCACATCGCCTGGGTTTATCTGCGGTCAGATGAAGCTGGCTGTTGTCATAATAACTCCCTCATTGCAGCAGCAAGAGGAATTGGTCAGCGGGTTGGTTTAGAAGTTTGTAGGTATGACTTTTCAGACGACGTTTCTGCAACGAAGGACACGACATTCTATCAGCGGGAGACATGAGGAGGGCACTTTCTGAAAGACCTGTGTAAGGTACATCCGCATGCGTTTGTGAAGTAGACGAGGCGAAGATAACCTCAGAAGTGAACAAGATAGATGGTTTTAGCAAGCTTCACAATGTCCAGTTTGAGGAGAAAGGTATTCGTGTATGAAGGTCGTACCGAACAGGGCGTGGCAAGGAAATCTCTTTTGACCAGCTGGTGTTAAAGGGCCAAGGGGACACTGGTATCGTTGTTAGTGAAAAATTTTTCCCTCTTCATAATGCACGTGTTTATCAATGCTCAGATCCTGTGACAGAGAGTTCAGAAGAAGAGAATGACTGAGACGATTTGAATATAAGCATGTTTGAATGCTCCGAGCCTGGATGCGTGAAGAGTTTCCAAACATTTTCAGGGCTCGAGTCACATTTGGACGTAGGGGATCATTGCGTCAAAGATGAAAGGCCGTCAGAAACGCTATATGACAAGCTTCGAAGAGATTGGGCAGACAGATTTATTACGTCAGTCAACGTCACTGAAAATGAACCGTCTGAACCTAATATCCGCCAAAGTGAAAATGTTTCAATAACTGCGTTGCACACTGTCATTATGGGCTGGGCCCTACACAAGCCACGAGCAGGATCCATTAGATTAACTTACAAAGTTAAGAAATATCTAACTGCAAAGTTTGACCTAGGGGAACAATCAGGGCTAAAAGCTGACCCTCAGCAAGTCTCAAATGATATGCGCAAGACAAGAGATGAGCAGAATAGGAGGTTGTTTGAACGAGACGAGTGGTTGACTAAGAGCCAAGTACAGGGTTTCTTTTCTCGCCTTGCAGCAAGCAGAAGAGGTCAACAAGCACACTCAGAAATCGAGCACAATCCAAAGGAACTGTTTCTAGAGGAAAAAGAAGCTGAAAGACAACAGCTAATGGTGCACATTTCTAACGAACTGAGGCCGCAACACCCTCTGTCTTACGACGCCTTTAACTTGTGCGAGTGTGCTAGAGATAATAAGCTGAGTCTTTTTAAAGTTTCACTGCTTAAAGATATCTTGCGCTTTTTTGAAGTACCATTTTAATCAAGAGACAGGAAAAAAGACCTGATTGAACAGCAGGGTGTCTAAAATAGCAGAGTCCACTTTAATTTCAGCCCTAATTAAAGGGGATCCTTGTTTTTCCAGTTTTCCATCCTTTAAAACTTACATATTTTGTAACCAATTCCTTATGTCAATGTTTAGTTTGGGTATGAGTATCGGTAAGAAACACCACGCATCAATGATAGCTGGAGCAAGAGCATTAACTGCAATCTAAATAATAATATTGCATGTTACAATGTAGTAACTTACACAACAAAATTATTTAATCACACAATTCCAAACAAAGGAAGTCAGGTTATTTACTCACCTGCTTTAACTTTTGAGGGCCTATGATACAGAAAAATAGATATGGTAAACAGTTACAGTTAATACAAAGTTGAAAGTTTGAAAGCTAAGAGATATACATTACAATCATCAGACCCTACGCATCCTTGCAAAAAAGGGTCAGTTACCACTATAACTTCTCCCAAACATTCATACTTACAGGAAATCATTAATTTTTGTCACTAAGCGGTACTGTACTTACAATAGCTCTACTGACACAAATGCATTTTTCTCTAGTTATCTCATAGCTTATGACTGTTAAGGTCATGTGGAAGGTCCCTGCTTGAGGGCTGACATTTCAATTACCTCAACAAACTGTAATCATCAGCATTGCAAGCCAAGGTGTATTTCCCAAGTGCTCAAGTTTCCAAAGTAGTCATCTAATTGTTACAGATGAGTTGACTCCTTTTTGATTCCATCTTCAGCTTGATCATCCTGTAACATGTGAAAACATCAAATGTTACTCTCATATTTAAATACTTGCCTGAATCAAAAGTTATAATTTTTTTAATAACCTGCTTCCTTTAACCCTTTAATCCCTGAGAGTGACCAGCATGTAATTTCCCCTTTCAATATCATCCCTGAATCAAACATTAAGGTTATGAGAATAAAGGAAATTATAATAAACTGAAGAACCTCTTGATTGTTAAACGAATTCTCCCTGTCAACACATTGGGAAATGTATAGAGAACAGTATGGAGAATATGCATACTGATGTCAGGGTGTAAAGGGTTGATAGTGCTCCAGAAATAGTAAAAAGTATTGGAGAGAAAGAAAGAAAGTTCTTGAAACATTCTATATTAAAATGAAACTTTGTTATAAATATTAGTTGCGATGGCAATGGAGCATGATATGAATAAATTTAATCTCACTCAGTTTAAATGTAGAATCTGAAATCTAATTAACTTACTAATTAATAGGAAAAAGCTCAATGTGTTTCTCCTGCTTCTGTCATTCTAAATATCACAAATCATTTACACCACCACTTCAGTGTGATTTTTTTGAAGATGTGAACTTTTTCTTATGGTCATCTATTTTTAGTATCTATCTTTTACCAGCTGATATCTGAGAAGAATCAAGTCCACACTGGTGATTTGACACATTGTAAGCAAACCCTACAACTGATTAAATTTTATCTGAACAAAAACATGAAGGGCAATAGAGGAAATTGCCTAGCACAATTCAAGTTTCCCTTCTTAAGTATTCTGTGATTGTTTCTTCTATCATATGGTTAAGTCTACAGTTTCCCTCATTTCACTGTCATCTGTTAATCTGTTTGCTTTCCTAACAATCTTAACTATTACTGCCAACAAATGCAAGGAGCATATAAAATGTGTGCAGTTATTAACACTAATTTCTGAGAGTGACTAGCATGTAATTTCTCCTTTCAATATCATCCCTAAATCAAGCATTGAGGTTATGAGAAAAAAGTAAATCATAATCAACTGAAGAACCTCTTGATTGTTAAACAAATTCTCCTTGCCAGCACATTAGGAAATGTATAGAGAACAGTATAGGGAATATGCATACTGATGTTAGGGTGTAAAGGATTAAAGACATCATGTAGTCAGTTTCATATATGTAGAGTACTGCTTGAATATATAATTGTGGTGAGTGCAAGTGCCTAATAAACATCAGTCTATGATCTTCTACTCTTTCACATTGGAGGGTGCCTTGTGTGCATAAAAATTGAGGTTCTGTGCCTTTCCCAGCTTTTTTGGCTTCAAAGATCAACAAAGAACAACAGCCACACTAAAAATATTTTTCATGAAGGACACCTCTACAATGGTAGGTACACACAACTGACATGTTTGAGTGAAGCATGTCAAGCATTAAGGTATGGCTGTTAGTTTGCTTTTCATTACTTGCAAACCACTTATTTCTATCCACTTTGAAAACTAATCTGTATCCTCACTTTTACAGAAAAGCATTTCCCATGAACATTTCAAAATTAAAGACATAAGCTACCAGCAACAGGTTTTTCCATTGTTTCACAACATCAGATTCTCATCACATTTTTTTGTTACATTTGAAAGCATAAGAAAATTTTAATCATTACAATATAATGAAATCCCCCATTTTAACCCTTTTAGTCCTACTGGTGACCAAGACAGAATGTCTCCTTACACAATCAGTGTAGTGTTTAGGCTATTGAGACATTTCGTGCCGCATACATGGTGTAATGTAGGTTCGAGTTGCATCTCGTATAGCGGAAAGCATGGCGTGTTGTAAAAGTCGTGTGCAGTGAATTAAAACACTTCAAAAGGTTTAATACGTGTTAATCTGCTTATTTATTGGCCATCACCACATTTGGCGACGAGGATAAAGCAGGATAAAGGTTCTTGTGGATCCTTAAATTGAATTTCGCGACATGCCTGACACCGAGAGAGGTGAAACCAGCGACACGCCGCCACAACCAGCGCCGAGCTCGATCGTCGAACCAAAGACTCTTGAAGTTCGTGGTTTACCTTGCTTCGACCCCAAGGGAGAACCGACTACTCTTTCCGTTCGATGGAAACGCTGGAAACGTGCTTTTCATTTGTATGTGGCATCGAAAGGTATTACGAATCAAGCGCAAAAAGTGGCTCTATTACTGCACTCAGGTGGGATGGAACTGCAAGAAATTTTCTACACGCTTGCACCAGAAGACGAAGCTCAGAACAACTTCGACAATTGTGTAGCCATCCTTGACAAATATTTTACGCCAAAAGTGAACGTACCTTTCGAGAGACACGGTTTCCGACAAATGGCACAACTCCAGAGCGAAACTATCGATCAATTTGTGTGCCGCCTTCGACAAAAAGCTGTCTCGTGTGAGTTTGACAAAGTGGATGAGGCTATCCGGGATCAGTTGATTGAAAAGTGCAGAGATCCGGAACTCCGAAAGAAGTTTTTGGAGAAAGCCCAGGACGGAACCCTTACTGTCCTTCAAGATGTTGCACGAGTTCATGAGTCTGTCATCCTTCAAATGCAGTCATTAGAGATTTCGAGTAAAGATGATCAAGTGAATGCAGTGCGACCTGTTAACCCCAAGTGGCGAAAAAACAAGATGAAAAAGAGGAAGAAACCAGATAAGAAAGATGTAAGACCAGGAG